TGATATTGTTTATCTTATTTCTTATATATTGTATTGTTTATTAACATGTTTTTTTTTTTCATTTACCTTTATTTATCCAGGTTAGTCTCATTGAGCCACGAGAACTCATTTTCAAGAGAGACCTGTTTAGGAGCAGATGGGGGTTAAGGGCCTTGCTCATGGGCCCAGAGTGGGGCAAATGAGGGTGGGGGCAGGTGTGAGTACTTCACCTACCCCACCCACATTTTTGATGTCGTCTGTACTGGGGCTTGAACGGGCGATCTTCCGATCACAGGCTCACCTTCTCTAACCTCTGCGCCACCACTCCCATATATATATGGAGTTCAATTCCAGTCGAGAAACTCATCTACAAAACTAGAGACATTCACTTGAGTCCATCAGTGATGGGGAACATGGACATTCTGCTTGTTGACAACTGAGTTTCTTCAGGATGGTAGAGAGACATGAAGGTGAAGCTGCTGCCACCTACTGGACGCATTTTACAACTACAGTCCAGTCAACAAGTACTGTGTATGTGTAGTGGTTAGAAAATTGTTTCAGTAAAAAAAAAAAAAAACATTAAGAAAAATATTGTTTTGTATTAGTTGGCTAAAATTGTATTTGGTTCATGGTAATATTTGGCAAATGTAAATGGAAAAAAAAAAACCATAATCAATTACTCAGTTGAAGAAAATCTAATGGGAATAAGATGCACTCTGATCGATTCTAAATATCTATGATCAGTTTTTCTGTTCTTGCAGTTCAAGGGTCACAGAATGATGCAGTAGAATAATAATACATCTTAAATACATTTTCTTTAATGTTACTTTTCTGAATATAATTGTTTATAGACTTTAGAGAGTGATACAACTTCAAAGTTTATGTCTTGAGAGTTTTATTTACTGATCGTGTCTCTATTAGTCATGTCTAAACTAACACAGGTGACACGTGTTGCTTCTGCTCACCCGTGACAGAAGTAACACTGTGTCTTTGTCTCACCTTTCCCCTTTACAGGGGTACAACACAAATACTGTCGTCAACAAATACTTCTACACATGTTATATACGTGTGCATATATACATATATATATGCTTCATAATCCATTTTGTCCTGACTGTAAGCTCTGAGCACAGAACAACCTTAAGGTTCACATTAGTACTGTAAAAAATGAAAGTTACAAGGTTTGAACCAGACTCTCACCTGGCCTGTGTTAAGAGCAGCGCCGTAGCCCGTGGACACGCCACAGCCCAGCAGACACACTTTATCCAGCGGAGCGTCACATCTGATTTTTGTAACAGACGTGTCAGGAACCACCGTGTACTGACAGAAGGAGCTGACCCCGAGGAACTGATAGACCTGCTGCCCTTTGCAGGAGATCCTGCTGGTGCCATCAGCCAGCACGCCAGACTGCATGTTTTCCCTAAAGGCCACATTATGATCAGTGAGAAGAGACCACGAACGCAACACAAAGCATGCGACCGTCTGCATGCACCCATGAAATCACCAGTTTGTCTTGCAGAGGTTTGTGGTGGAACTCCGACACCGGGGGCACTTTCTGCAGTACGGCAGAAAAAGAGGGATGACTTTATCCCCTGAGAACAAAACAAATGCAACAAACGGTCACGCTCCTGCAGAAAAGAGAAGAAGAAACTTGAAATGTCACCGTCATGTTTTGTGAACTGCGCAGTAAAACTCACCCGGGCAGAACTCGGTGACTTCTGGGCCAACGCTCTCCACTACTCCTGCAGCTTCGTGGCCGAGAACCAAAGGGAAGCGTCTCAGAACCGTCCCCGTCCCAGCCTCGTACAGGTACTCCCAGTCTGTGTGACACACCCCCGAGGCAACGACCTGCGCCAAGAACACTCACTTCACTTCACTTTCGTCTGTAGCACCAAGTCACAACAGAAGTCAGCTCAGGCCACTGAACAGAAGCATGGAGACATCAAATAATCCTTTCACATCATTCATCTGAGGAGCAGACACTGAAATACATGCTGAACCTGAGACGCACAAGCTGGAGCTTCTGAAGCACTGAATCAGTCTGGAGCAGTGCTTCGAAGCCTTTCGTACGACAGGAGCATCGACGAACAGACAATAAGGAAGACGTGGTTTTACCATTTTAACCCATCCCACTGTTTTTATTACGTGCGCCGTCGAACAGAATCTGTTAAACATGGGAAACATTTTTACTGAAATCTTTAGGACAGTTTTTCTGTTGCGCCAACAGTTTGTTCACTTCCTGCTTTGTTTTGAGCAAAGTAGGAAGGAAATGACAGCTTGCTTCAAACTGCAACAACATGTGCGTTGAAATATGGCGTTTCAGTAAAAGTAGTTATTCTTAGAAAGAAACTGTTGTTTGTAGTTGAAGCAGTTTAACAAAGCACGTGTGGAGACAGTCTCTGAATGAGAACTTGATCTGTTCCTGGAAGTTTGATCACCCGGACCGACTCCAAAAACATCTGGACACGAGGCTGTGATGAAAAGTGTCCACGTGTTGGACATGATGTTCACCTTGATCCGGACTTCATGGGCTTTAGGGGGGGCCACATCCACCTCGATGACAGACAGGGGCCTCCTGGGCTCCCAAGCAACAGCTGCTCTGCATCTGATCACCTGGAAAAATTAAACTCATTCAGAAACTGGTGAAAATTAAATATCCAAGAGGCTGAATGAGGATCAGCATGAACACACAAAAACGAGCTCCTGATAAACGTGTTCGTACCTGGCCAGCTGTCGCCATTCTTAAACAGCTCACCTGTAATTAATTCATCAAGCGATGTTTAGATCTGCTTCAACTACCAAGTCATTCTGAGGAGACTTGTTGTCCCAATCATAGCTCAAACTTTACTCACCGACTCTAACAGATACGATCCGCTGTATCAAAGCGATGTTTGCGTCCTCTTTAAACCGTTACACACTTTACGACACTTCCCGACAATCGTCACCGCCTTTACGGCAGACGCTGCTCACACGTGTTGACAGTCGTCGGTGGTCGATAGCAACCAGCTGGACGGGTAAATAATTAGTTTCACTCGTATTTAAAATGTGTCTCATACAACTCAGTGTTTGTATTTTGATTCGAACATAAGTTTTATGGAGTTCTGTTATAAAAAAGTGCAAAAAAAGATAAATTTTAACGCCGGACATGAGCTAACTTTAGCAACAGCTAGCTACTGCTGGTTAGCCCATTCACGATGTTGTGAGCAACTTTCAGTGTTCGGACACTTGGCCTGTTTTGATGGTTAACACAGCACCTTACAGCGTGTTTCATGTAGAAGGCATGTTTAAAGTCGCATGAAGAAATAGGAGTACACATCCATCATACTTCAAAAGGTCTCCAGTTAATTCATGCACTTTAAAAATAGCTTGCCGTCATTTTTGCATCATGTTTGCTCAACATGTTTTCCGTAGATAAGTTTGTGCTCACATAAACTCGAGTTCAAATTAAAGTTTGCAGATGTGAAAGCCTTGGCTTATGACAGATGAGAATCATAAAGGTCTAAGTGTGATAACAGAAAGGCTGGATCACAGTTTATTAGTTGATAACAGAATATTTTTAGGTGATCAGACTCAATATTACTGTCAAGTTCAGGTTGTTGGTTAAAATGTCACCTGGGCTTTTAGCAGGTGAAAAGTCTGAGATCATTTCAAGAACCTGACTAGAGACGCATGTGAACTCATGTGTTTCACCTCATTTAGCTGAAGACAATGTAAAGACATCCACGTTCTGGTGTCAGTCAGGTAGGACTCACCTGTCTTTAAGGTTAGACAAAGGTTTTTATTACTAACAACATAGGTCCTTGTTATTGTCGTAATTAAAAAATACTGTAGTTAAACTGTTTTGTGATGCTTGGACTGTTTTTGCCACAGATTCAGGGAACATGTCTTTTAGAGGAGGTGGACGAGGCGGTGGAAGAGGTGGAGGCTTCAACAGAGGTGGAGGATTCAGAGGCGGTGGTGGAGGATTCGGACGGGGAGGTGGGAGAGGAGGTTACAACAGACAGCAGGACTTCGGTCCTCCGGAGTACGTCGTCGGTAAGCTTATAAATTAAATCGTTTGGCCATTTGTTGTAATTTTTATTTGTGTCGCTTCAATAAGAGGCGTGGACCAAAGTGCTTTACAACTTGGTCAAACTAAAATTTAAAAAAGAACAAGGAATTACACGAGATCTTGTGTCACTAAGGAACCGGAGAATAAAAAACAGAAAAGACGATCAGCTCTAAATGGTTCTTAGACTCTGCCCGAATCAAACGCCAGGGGAATAAGATGGGACTTGAACAAAGATTTAAAAGTCTCCACCGTCTTAGCAGCCTTTAATTGATCAGGTAAATCAATCAACTTTATTTATACTGAACAAAAATATAAATGCAACACTTTTGTTTTTGCTCCAGCTGAACTCAAAGGTCAAAAACTTTCTACGTACACAAAATACTTTTTCTCTCAACTATTGTTCAGTAATTTGTGTAAATGTGTGTTAGTGAGACGATCCGTCCACCTGACAGATGTGGCACATCCAGATGCTGATCAGACAGCATGATTACTGCACAGGTGAGCCTTAGGCTGACCACAACAAAAGGCCACCCTAAAATGTGCTGTTTCATCACACAGCACAACGACGTGCACGTTGCAGGTTCTGAGCGTGCAGTTTGCTGCAGGAACGTCCACCAGAGCTGTTGTCGTGAACTGAATGTTCGTTCCTCGACCATGAGCCGTCTCCAGAGACCTTTCACAGAAAACGGGCAACGCTCTCAATAAACTCGGGGTTAAGTGACGTTGTCATTTTGTCTGCCGGCAGTGGATGTAGCCTCGGCTCTCAGTAACCAGCCCCCTCCTCTCGCTCTGGCCATAATTGTCCCACTCATTGTGAACATCAAATATAAAAAACAAATCATGTAGAATATTAAATTAATCCAAATAGTAACAGATTCCACAACAGTCCAGATTCTGTGAATCTGTGCGTATCACTGAAATCACGGGGCGCTACACACTAGAAGTGGTGTTAACAAGTTAAAAGATAAAAGCTGAAGCCCTAGTACATCAGAGGACATCATCATTATTAACCTTTATTTAAGCAGGTAAGTCCCACTGAGATCACAGATTATTTTGTAAAGGAGGTCTGGACCTGAAGCAGACCAACATGCATGTTTTTGATCTGTGGGAGGAAACGAGTACCTGGAGAAAACCCACGCAGCACGAGAAGAACTTGCAAACTCCACACAGAAAGACCCCAGGTCCAAGCCGGGATTGAACCCAGGACCTTCTTGCTGTGAGGCAACAGTGCAAACCACTGATCCATCGTGTTGCCGTGGCAGAAGACCCAGCACAGACCGTTTCAAACAGGATGTTGGTGTTTCTGACCACAAACCTGGCGCAGATACTGGGGAGAAGCTCGGCGGGCTGCACAGTCCGGAGCTCTAGTTTGCTGCTTCGGTGCAAAGCCTGGACATCAGGTGCTTTTAGACAGAAAATACAACTAAAGTCCTTAGGATTGATTGTTGAAAAAGTACCAAATGTCTTAAACTTGATGACATCACATTTAATGAAACGGCTTATTGCAGGTTGTTTATTTTGTTTAATTTTGTCACAATACCATAAATTTCAAGTTATTCTTATGAACTTAGTGTGTGTGCAGAATTTTGTACTTGAATAAATCCAGTTTGCTCCTTATCAGAGCAGTTGTAAAGGATCAGTCTCTAAGACCTATATCTGATTTTTTTTTGTCACAGTCTGAATGTGACAAATCAGATTTTTGTCATACGTGTTACTGAATCAGATTCATATCTGATTCTTTTCAAAGCGACTGCAGTCTGAAGGTCGTGTCACATTTCATCCGACTTGTATGTCAGGGAGGTGGGGGTGAGCGGATCGATCCAAGCTTTAATAATATTAATATCAACCTTGTGCAGTTTAGATCTTGGAGCGCTGCACGTCTTCAGCTTCAGTACAGAAGTCCAGTTGTTTCATCTTTGTTCTTTTAATTTCCCATGTCCTGCATGACTGAACCTACAGAAACAAATGATATCAATGTTAGTATTGGACCGTATCGAAACTCATGTGATGGGATCAATACTTGAGTTTGTTTCTTCCTTCTGTACGTCACGCCCAGTTCAAAATGCAACGCTGAGTCCGAGTATCTGTCAAGATTAAATTTAAACACAGACCAAATGATCATATTCAATAATTTAATTTGTTCTAATTGCTCTAAAACTTCGTAATGTTAAATGTTCATTTAGCACAGCGTGCTGCGTGTGACACGTTTTCTTCTGCACGTGCGATTCACTGCACACAGTTCACACGAGGAGCATTTTAATGATAATGTGAACGGCCGTGTAGAAAAATGGGATCCGAGTAAAAAAAATTGTAATTGAGCTTTAAGACCTGCAGCCTGAACGAAGCCGTGCAGATTTGTTTTAGTCCAGGCTGAATTTATGTTAGTCCCAGTAAGTATGGTTAACTTTAGTCTCTCCCTGTGTTTTCGTTCTGCAGCGCTTGGAGAGTTCATGCACCCGTGTGAAGATGACATTGTGTGTAAATGTACAACGGAGGAAAACAAAGTTCCATATTTCAATGCTCCCGTGTATTTGGAAAACAAGGAGCAGATCGGAAAAGTGGACGAGATATTCGGCCAACTGAGGGAATTTGTATCTTTTCTGTTGCCCTCGTTTGTGTCTCTGCACCTCTGAGATAAAAATGTGATGCACTGAAGGAAACTAAGCGTCCTTAACCAACACGTGCAGTATTTTTCAGTCAAACTCACAGAAAACATGAAGGCGTCGTCATTCAAGAAGCTGCAAAAGGTAAAAGAACGTTCAGACAGTTTGAAACATCCATAACAAGATGTATTTGAGGTCTGAGTGCAAACTCCACCTTTTTCAGTTTTACATCGATCCCATGAAGCTCCTCCCGTTACAAAGATTCCTTCCTAGGCCGCCAGGAGAAAAGGGGCCTCCAAGAGGAGGCAGAGGGAGAGGTGGTGGTCGTGGAGGTGGTCGTGGAGGTGACGTTCTTCTTGGTTTCTACATCTGGTCCATCGTTCGTTTGACGCTTGTGCTTTGCTGCTTCTTGGTTGTTGCTGCAGCTTGAAAACTCAAATCCTTCACTTTTTGAAAGAGCAGCCTGTGAAAAGTGATCGATCTTCTTTAATATCAGGCGGCTTTCGAGGCGGCAGAGGCGGAGGGGGTCGCGGCGGAGGTTTTGGAGGAGGCCGTGGAGGAGGAGGATTTGGAGGTGGACGTGGTGGAGGAGGCTTCAGAGGAAGAGGAGGTGGTGGAGGACGTGGATTCAGAGGTAAACACGTTTGTATGTAACAGTTTCAGGACCAAAAGACGCTACTTTTTTCTTAGACTGAACAAGCGGCTTATACAATGCTGCTGCTAATTTATGGAATTTTATTTATTTATTTCTTCATTTATTTATTCATTCATTTATTTATTTAGCCTAACGAGCTTCCTGCAGTCAAAACATGTAGCCTCAACACACCCGGGCACTCGCAGAGCTGCCAAGTACACGTGTCTTGAGGGTGGGGGGTGTCCTCGTGACTCACTGAGACGACCTGTATAAATAAAGTTAAATCAAATCTGGCTAATATAATTATCAAACAGGCCACAGTTTCCCCCTCCCTGGGGGCACATCGAAGCATTTGCAGCCACTCAAGACGAGTGAATGGTGCGTTAACGTGGCGGTCTGGATGAGGAGCAGCAGGAAATGTTTGACCACAACGAGCCGCGTGCAAAGAGCAACTGTTGCTCCGGTCTGCAGGGGATCCTGACACCAGTGTCCAAAAATCCTCACAAATCCAACAATGTTCAGTCAGGTCATCTGAACGGTCACTTTTTTTTTGTTGAGACCTTTCATCCAAAGGACTTCTTCAGTCTGAAGAGATGATATATATTGATTATACGCATTTGATTAAAAGTAAAAAAAGAAACATTCTGTGTAACGATGTGAACACCCGCAGCTTGTAGACGAGCGCGGCCTATATATGTATAAATTATTATTTTTATTCAGTGGGCGTGGCTTATATTCAGGTGTGCTCAATAGTCTGGAGACGAGGGTGCTTGGTGTGAGTCCCAGTGATCTCTTGTGTTGAGCGCTCGCTCTGTTCTCCTCCTTGTGTTTGCCTCCTGCAGGTGGAAGATGATCAGACTCTGAGCTGGAGTGGACGCCTCGTCATCGTCATCGTTGCGCTCTGTGAGATCCTGACCAGAAAGACTCGGACTCGCTTTATGAACTTCAATGTTTTTTTTTCTTGATTTACTTTTGTACCAGTTTTGGATAAGTAATTAATTTTAACTATTTAATTTTAAAGGTTAAATTGTGTGTTTGTTTAGGACATGGAGAAGTCATTTTTGTCCATGTTGGAGCATTGATGAGTCAGTTAAACATAAAAAAACTTTTTATACTCATTTAAGCTAGAATATGTGACATTTTTAAATTACAGGTGCAGGAAACCCAGTCACAAACCCCCACTAACGGCTTTCTTTAGCTGCGTAAGGCGTTTTATCACTCAAGTTGTAATATCTCCATTAAAAATGTATTTTTGTTAAAGACCTTTATTAAATGGTTCTGTTAAACTGTGGGTGTGTTTTTATTGTGTGGGCTAATAAGTTTTGACATATTAAGATGAAAACAAAGCTCATTTACAGTATTATTCAGAAAATAATTAAATGCATCTGATAAGAACCTGAATTTGCTGAAACGTTTGGGAACTGAATTTTTGACTTTGTGCAGCTTTCTTGAAACCAGTGACCGTCTTCAGAAATACTTTGCCTTTTTATGCAGTTATTTTGTGACGTACAAAAAGTGAATCGCAGTCTTATAAGCTATATGTTGAATAAATAATCTAAGAAGTTGTTCTTAAAAGATTAGACAATGTTTCAGAAAAATTCAGTTTTATTTAAATAATGGGTGGTTGGAGCCAGAACAGACCTGGGGGTGTTACGAGATGTTTTATCTAAAATGTTACGACTGATTCAAATTAAGAGACACGTGTAAATGTCTTTTAGACTTTAATGAACAGCCATCACATCCTTTAAATACTGAAGTTTCACTAATCCCTGTTTGATTTAAATTAAATAGATTAAAAGGTGAATTATCTTTTTCACTGAGGTTGAGTATTTGATCTAATAAAACATCTAAAAAAGTTAAATCTGGTCCTCTGGACATTCAAAAAAACAAAACAAAGCAAAACAACAAAAAAAGGTAGAAACGTTTCGTCTCTCATCCGAGAGACTTCCTCAGTCTGAGGAATGAGAGACTTCCTCAGTCTGAGGAATGAGAGACTTCCTCAGTCTGAGGAGCTGTTTTCAGCTCAGTCTCTTAAACACTCTGCGAAGGTGCTATTTAAGAGACTGAGCTGAATACAGCTCCTC